TGCGCCGCGCACGCCCCGCGCCGCTTCCGCCGCCGCTGCGCGAGCGGCCTTCGGAGTCCGCTTCTCCGTCGTCTGCGGGGTCAGATTCCCACGCCACCTGCGACCGGTCGCCCGGGTACCCACAGCTTAGCGCCTGCGCGGACTGCGGGCGTCTGTCACCATGGCAACGACCGCTGGGGGCCCTGGTAAGCGCCGGTGGGGCTCCCACGATTGGCTCCACAGCACTTTCTTCTGCCTCGCTGCGGGGAGGGGGGTGGAGGGAGGGTAGGGACGCCTGGAGACACTCGGGCTGCAGCCTTCCCTTCTTTTTTTAAAATATATTTTTACTGATTTCAGAGAGAGGAAAGGAGAGGGAGAGAGAGAGATACACCAATGATGAGAGAGTCATTGGAGATCGCGCCCCCAACCCGGGCATGTGCCCTGACCGGGCCGCGAACCCCGATCTCCTGGATCCCAGGTCCACACTCAACCGCTGAGCCACGCCCGCCGCGCCCTCTCAGCGCGCTCCCGCAGGCCACCGGCCTCTAACCTTGGTTCCCGCGTGGGTGTTCAGAGAAAAAGGTTTGGGGCGACCAGGAATGGCAAAAATATTGCGCCCTTTTTTGAAACAAAAACAATTTTAAGAGAAGTTTTAGGTTCATAGGAAAATTGAACGGGAGAAACAGATGCTCCATATATCCCTCATCTGCATACACGCATAGCCTCCCCATGATCAACATTCCCCAGTGAGAGTAAAATTGTGAACCTGCACGGACACATGGTAATCACCCCAAGTCCACAGTTTGCCAGGGTTCAAGCTCGGGGCTGTACATTCTATGGGTTTAGACAAATGTATCTATCGCTATGGTATCATACAAAATAGTTTCTCTGCCCCAAAATACTCTTTGCTACACCTGTTCATCTACCCCACCCCAACCCCTGAGGACTACTAATCTTTTTACTATCTCCCTAGTGTTCCCTTTTTAAGAAGGTCACTTAGTTGTAATTATATGTCACCTTTTCAGGTTGGCTTCTTTCACTCAGTAGTATGCATTTAAGGTTCCTACACATCTTATTATGGCTTGATAGCTCATTTCTTTTTAGCATTAAATAATATTTTATTGTTTCGACGTGCTATAGTTATATCCACTGAAGGACAGCTTGGTTTCCTCCAAGTTTTGGCAATTATGAATAAAGCCTCTTTAAACATCCAAGCGCAGGTTTTTGTGTGGACATAAGTTTTCAACTCCTTTCGGTAAATATCAGGGTGTAGCAACTGGATCATATGGTGAGAGTATGTTTAATTTTATAAGAAACTAACAAACTATCTTCCAAAGAGCCTGCATCATTTTGCATCCCCACCAACAATGAGAGTCCCTGTTGCTTCGCATTGTCCTCACCAGCATTTGTTAGCACTGTTCAGGATTTTGGCCCTTCTAACAGGTGTGTAGTTGTACTTCGTTGTTTTGTGTTTCTCTTATGACGTGATGTGAAACACCTTTTCATATGCTTGCTATCTGTTTATCTCCTTTGAATTGTTTGTTGACGTCTTTGTCCCATTTTTTAATTGGGTTGTTTTCTTATTGTTGAGTTTTAAGATTTCTTTGCATAGTTTGGATAACAGTCCTTTATCCGATGTCTTTTGCAAATATTTTCTCCCAGCCTGTGGCTTGTCTTACCACCTTGACATTGTCTTTTCCAGAGCAGAAGTTTTTCATTTTAATTAAGTCCAACTAATCCATTATTTCTTTCATGAATGGTGCCTTTGTTGTATGTCTGAAAAGTCATTGCCACACTCAGAGTCATCTAGGTTTTCTCCTATATTATCTTCTAGGAATTTTATAGTTTTGCACTTTTACATTTAGGTCTATGGTCCATTTTGAGTTAGTATTTGTGAAAGGTGTAAGTTCTGTGTCTAGATTCATTTTTTTTGCATCTGGATGTCCAGTTGTCCCAGAACCATTTGTTGAAAAGACTCTGTTTGCTTCATTGTATTGCCTTTGTTGCTTTGTCAAAGATCAGCTGACTCTATTTATGGAGGTCTATTTGGGGGCTTTCCATTCTCTTCCATTGATCTGTTTATTCTCTCACCAATACCACACTGTTTTGGTTACTGTAGCTTTATAGTAAGTCTTGATGTTGGGTAGTGTCATTTGTCATCCTTCAATATTGTGTTGGCTCTTCTGGGTTTTTTTGCCCTCCATATAAACTTTAGAATCAGTTTGTCAGTATCCACAAAATAACTTGGTGGGATTTTGATTAGGATTGCTTGAATCTATAGATTAAGTTGGGAAGAAGTGACATCTTGACAATATTAAGTCTTTCTATTCATGAACATGGATTATCTCTGTATTTACTTCTTTGCTTTCGTTCATCAGAGTTTTACAGTTTTCCTCATATAAATCTTGTACGTATTTTGTTAGATTTATACCTCAGTATTTCAGTTTTTGGGGTGCTAATATAAATGGCATTATATTCCATTTCAAATTACACTTGTTCTTTGCTCAGAAATGGGAATGTAATTGATTCTCATATATTAACCTTGTATTCTTCAGCCTTTTTTCAGTTTAAATTTTTTCCTGACTGTAAACATAATGCATGCTCATTATAGGACATTTATAAAGTATATTGAAGTAGGAAAGAAATTCACATAATGATAATACTCAGAGGCACCAATAGTAACTGTATATTTCTACATCATATGCTATATATCTCTTTTAAAATTTTCTCTCACTATTTAAAAACCATACAAACTAGTTTTTTAAAGCATTAGTTTTTAGTGGCTTAGACCAACACAGATTTATTATCTTATAATTCTGGAAGTCAAAAGCCTGAAATGGGTCTCACTGAACTAAAATCAACATGTCAGCATGGCTGCATCCACTCTGGAGGGTCTAGGGGGAAATCAGTGTTCATGCCTTTATCACCCTCTAGAGACTGCTTGAGTTCCTTGGTTCATGATCTCTGCCTCCATTTGCAAAGTCTGCAATGGCTGGTGGAGTCTTTCTCATCTTGCATCACTCTCACATGGGCTCTTCTGCCTCCCTTTTTCACTTATAAGGGTCTTATGAGGGCCCACCTTGGTAGTCTAGGCTAATAGCTCCATCTCAAAGTCTACTGAATAGCAAACTTAATTCCATCTGTAACCTTAATCCCCCCTTGCTATGTAATATAACATATTCACAGTTTACAGGAATTAGGACATAGATGTATTTGGGGTGGGGGAGTGGTGTCATTATTTCTCCTATTACAGTATCTATGTACAGGGTGTCCCCCAAAAACGTATGCGTACTTTAACAGCTGATTGCTCAGTTTTGAAAATGAAATGTGTTTTAATAAATACTGTCTTTATAACTATTCAAAGTGTATGTATACATTTTTTGGGACACCTATATGTATTGTCTCTGCCTTGCTTTTTTCACTTAACATATCTTTGAGAGTACTCTGTGTCTGTACATGTAGATTTGCCTCAATCTTTTTAATGGCTGCATAACGTTCCATTGCATGGATATATACCATAATTTATTTAGTGAATTTACTATTTGTGGATATTTAGGTTATTTTCACTCTTTTGCTTTTATAAATAATACTGCAATAAATCTTTGTATCATATGTATCATTTCCCACATAGAAGCACATCTGTTTATAGGATAAATTTATGAAAACTCATGAAAGTGGAATTTCTGGTTCAAAGGATGGATGTATTTTTCTTTTTTAAAAACTTTTTCTTATTGAGAAAATTTGCATACCTTACAATTCACTCATTTAAAGCATGTAATTCATTGGTTTTTTAGTAAATTCAGAGTTGTAACTGTCACCACAATCAATTTTAAAACATTTTCATCATTACAAAAAGATGTAAAAATAGGGGAAGGAACATATGTGAATTCACTGTACCTTTCACTCATTTTTTTCTGTAGAGCTAAAACGTTTCCCCCAAAAGTCTTCATTTAAAAAATTGCAACTAATTTTGCCTTTCTTTTGACCCCATTTTCAGAGTTATAGCCTACTTAAAATAGTATTAATATCCTAGATCATAGATAGAGTCTTCTTAAATTATATATGTGTGTATATACACACATACACACACACACACACATATACACAGTTGTAGCTAAGTATAAGGTAGCAGTTTCATCCATTTATCCATTAACAGGGCAAGGAGAAGTTTTTACTTAATTTTTAAATTTTATTTCTGGAGTCATCGTATTTTATTATTAATATATAAGTTGCCTGTATAAAAATTTTGACTGCAGTATGTTTAGTTGAATGATGCTGTGGACACATCCAGTGTGTACCAGTGTGTACCAGTGTGTACCATTAACTAACATTAGTTTTTTCTGGTAACATGCATGATTACCTTTTTTGTGAAGCTTCTGGTGTATCTTAAAAACTTCATTCTTACCATCCACATGAGTTGTGTATTTTATCTTGAGAATATACTATGATTTAATTATTTTCCCATTGTTGGACATGTCTGTTGTAGCCTATAATTAATGTGCCTTCTAAAAATGCCTAACTTAAATATTTAAAAAATGATGGCCATGCCCGGCTGGGCGTGGCTCAGCGGTTGAGCATTGACCTAGGATCCAGGCAATCGGGGTTCGATTCCCGGTCGGGCACATGCCCGGATTGTGGGCTCGATCAATGAGTCTCATCATTGATGTTTCTGTCTCTCTCTCTCCTCTCCTCTCTCTGAAATCAATAAAGATATATTTAAAAAAAAAAAATGATGGCCATGTATTTTCATCTAAAAGTCTCTGATTCTATTACATATGCTAAATAGAGCCAAGTGTTTTGGGTAGGAAACTGCTAGGGTGGATGCTACAGCTAATTTTCTCTTTTATTTTGTAGCCCAACATACAGAGTGATTACTAAGTCCTATGCATGTTAGTTTGAAGTTGTATGCTCCTCCACTCTCTAATCAGATTTTACTTTTTCTCAATGTGTTATCAGCAGTTTATGATGGCCATTTTTAGTTTTTAACTGTTGTTAAGCAGAGTTAATAAACATTTAACAGAAGACGCAATCTCATGCATAGGGAATTTGCAGCCACTTAGTAGGCGCTTAAATGTTGAAATAAATGAACAAGAATTAAGGAGGTAAGATTATAGATAACTGTTTTCACTGTTTTTCAGCTTTTTCTCATTGTTATAGTAGGATATGGCATAATTTTGGGTAGACCTGGATTCAAATGTTTTAGTCTCAGTTAACTCATGTTTAATTAAGAGAAAATCTGGTCTGCCAAAAAAGTAGTTGATAGATATGGGAATTATGTGTATTTGTACATGCTAGATAAATCTGTGAATATTAACTCAGGAGTTTACTTAGTCACTCATATAAGTGTTGCTAAGACTCATAATCTGAAGGTAAATATGCTTAAATGTGTAATCTAAGATTCTAAATTGTTAATGAAAATTAACAATTGGCTTCAGGTGGAGAAAACAATTAAATTGTACAAAATTTAGAAGTTTTTAATACAGCTTTGGCTTTACATATATTTTAATTATTTATGGCACCAGGATTGACGATGACACAGTATGAACATTGCTGCTTTAACATATCTGTGTCTTACCAGTTTTTTTCTTTCTACATACTTTTTCATGCTTCTGAGGCCCAGACTAGCCTATATGTTTACTAATTATTACTTACAGCATATATAGCATGTTTATATATTTGTATATATTAAATACCTGCCACATCGTAATACTTGTTTTCACTTTTTAAAATCTCATGTTTTTCTATTCTTTCTCAATATATGCTGTGCCCTTTTTTATTAAAAATTTTTTTACCCCATATAAAACGATCTATTCCTTTTCATAAAAATGCTGTTATTTTAGGATCTTGGAGTGAAAATATACTGCAATATTTTCTAAGAAATAACCAGATCACAACAGAAGATGGCGCCCAGATCACCTGGTATCACGCTGCTAACCACAAGGCACAAGTGAAGGAGGCACTGAGGAGTAAGTCAGTACAGTTACTATTTTTATTTACATTGGATAACAGATGAATTCAACTCTTTTTAAAAAATATCTGAGTATATTTGCAGGGACCAGAGACTTAAACGCTAGGCTGATATAAACATTTTTATAGAGGATCTCATTATGTTTACAAGATGAACAAATTTCCATAATCGAAGAAATTTCTTATTTTTAGAAGTGATTTGCCTTTTCTATGTCTTATTTGAAACTCTCATATATTACTACACTTGCTTATATACTGTAGTGATTTGAGTAAAAATTTTGAGACCAGGATCATGTGTTGTACATAGTTTTGTGTCTTTCACAGTGTACTAAGGAGAGGCTCAGTAAATATTTGTTGAATGGATGGATGAAGCCATTGTATACTAATTTATAATTAATTGCCTTGAGCAGTATTTATGCCTAGGCTAGAAACCAAGACTTTTGGCTTGCTAACTCTGTCTATAATCATATATATTTATCTCCATTATATAGATGAACGTTGTAGCATTTTCTCAGCCTTTTCCTATGAGGTACCCCTGTTGGCTGTAGCAGCAGAGGAGAATGAAAGTCTGTCACTAGAGGGCTGAGGCATAGCTTGAAGTGACTTGGTCCAACAAGGAAAATTTTCTTGGAGTCCCATGTTTCATTGTAAAAATGTACGCATTTTTTGCATCCTACTCAATCATGTATCTAGATAATGTACCTGAATATGCATTTCTTGTATTGTAAATATACTGTTTTAAATTGCTTTTCTTTGTTTCTCAAAGGGAGGAACTTTGTCTTGTTTAATATTGAATCCCTAATAACTAAAACAGTGCCTGGCACATAATAACAGCACAGTGATTATTTAATAAATGAATTTTAGCAAAAGCAATGCTTCAGGAAAATAGTCAATTCATGGTTGCCAGGAGCTGGTGGGAGTAAGGGAATAGGGAGTGAATGCTAATGGGTACAGAGCTTTTTTGGGGGATGATGAAATTTTTCTGGAATTAGATAGTGGTGATGGTTGCACAACCTTCTGAATATTCTAAAAACCACTGAATGTTACATTTGAAAAGGGTGAATTTTATAGTATGTGAATTATATGTCAATTTTAAAAAATGGAAATGAGAGGAAAAGAAAAAATAAAACTGTTATTTATATACAATATGGTTGTTACATAGTAAATAAAAAAGATTCTACAGATAAATTGTTGTAGACCACAGTTAAGTTTAGAAATGTCAGCACAAAATCAAAGTAGAAAATAAACAGAGTGAATGAGGGTTCCAATTTCTCCACTTCCTTGTCAGCACTTGTTATTGTCTGTCTTTTTCATTATAGCCATCCTAGTGCCTCTGAATTAGTATCTCATTATTATTTAGATGTGTATTTCCCTAAAGCCAAATGATGTTGATCATCTCTTCATGTGTTTATTGGAAAATAGCTCAGATTTACAGCTGGGCAGCTTTTTCAATCTATTTCCAGCCTGTGGAAATTTGAGAGCCCACAGACCTCTTTTCATTTTGAACTACCTCTTTCTCTTTGGGTTCCAAGTGGATGTAGCTCCATTAAAAATGTAGTGGGCTTTCTGTATATCAAATTTTAAATCATTCCTCTAATCAGAAACCTCACCCTCTGCCCTAGCTGGTTATGCTCTGTGATTAGAGCATTGGCCCGAGGACTGAAGGGTCCCGGATTTGATTCCAGCCAAGGGCACATATCTCAGTTGCAGGCTTTATCCTCAACCCTGATTGGGGTGCATTCGGGAGGCAACCAATCAATGTGCCTCTCTCACATTGATGTTTCTCTCTCTCCCTCCCTCCTTCTCTCTCTAAAAAGCAATGGAAAAAATATCCTTGGGTGAGGATTTTAAAAAAAACAAAAAACCTCACCCTCAGATCTCTTGGAGGTTGGCCTCTCTCTGCTTTGGTTTGCTAGTTAGATTCTAGAAATTTCTTTTGTCTAGCTGTGTGGGTACATGAGGCACCATCTTTCTCTTAACAAATGGTCTTGTAGTTGCACCCTTGATGTGATCTTGACCCTGAGGCCATAGTTTACTGGCAGTATCCTGGATTTGACTTTTGGTCTGGGGCTATATCTTATTTTGAGAATCTTTTGCCAACCGAAGAGGATCGGTTCCATTTTCTAACTCAGCACATGTCTTGAATTAAAAATGTTTCCATATGCTGCTTAAAATTTGACTAGTTAATTATTTAACTCAGCTGTCTCTTCCTATTCTTTAACCTGGGCAGCTAAAAGAAGCCAGTTCGCACTTTCAACACTCTGTGGGGAAACTCCTTAGCCAAATCCACAATTCATTAGGTATCCTCTCTATCTCTCACCAGTTGCTACAAGTGGCAATGTTGCTAAAAGTTCCATTACTATATAAAACAGGTTGTCTGTTCTTCAGCTTCCAATAAGAATTTCCTCACCCAGCCGGGCATGTCTCAGCGGTTGAGCATCGACCTAGGATCCAGGAGATCGGGGTTCGATTCCCAGTCAGGGCACATGCCCGGGTTGCGGGCTGCAGCAGATCAATGACTCTCTTATCATTGATGTTTCTAGCTCTCTCTCTCCCTCTCCCTTCCTCTCTCTGAAATCAATAAAGATATATTAAAAAAAAAGAAAAAAAAGAATTTCCTCATTGTTCTTCCAACTCCCTGCTCAGCTAGAATTCCACTAGATCCTAAAGCCAGTGTCACATTGCAGGCTTTCATGACAGCGCTCCACTCCCAGATAACTTTTTTCTATTGCTATATAATAAACTACCCCTAAACTTAGTGGCTTAAAATAATAATGATTTATAATTTTTCATCATTTTGTGAGTCAGCTGCTTGTCCTCCTGTTCTGTGTGGTATAGGCTGGGGACCCTCATGTTGCTGTCCTCAGTGGTCTTGCTTGAATTTCCTTGCATGTTGGCTGACTTTCAAGGGGATGAAAGCAGAAGCTGCCAGGACTTTTAAGGGCTAGGCCTAGAACTGACAGTTTTACTTCCATTACCTTCTGTTGGTCAAGCAAGTCACAAGGCCAGCCCAGACTCAAGGGGAAGAGAAAGATAGTGAGAAGGGAGTTTCCTGTGTATGGGAGGAATTATTGGCAGCAGCCTTTGGAGTCAGTCTATCATAGCCTGGTAAACACATTCACACTAAGTGCCTAGTGAAGCTTATTACCTATTCCAGGGACGTGGAGAATTTTTATGAGTTATTTGAGCCAAACTGACGACAGTTGCCAGGAGCAAAATCTCAACAGATTGAGAAAATGCTCCAGAGGCTGATAGTGTTACAGCTTATTTTATACATTAGAATCAAAAGANCTCCATATTTCATTTCAAAGGCACAAAGCAAGAAAACAGACCCTGGCTAAAGCTAAACGAGACTCTTCCTTGCTCCTGATTTTTACTATATTCTTTCATGTATTCCTTTCATTTTCTTGATAAGCTCCTGGCAGTAGGTGTCAACATATAGGGCTGTTTCTTAAGAAGTCAGATGCCTGCCCTGGCCAGTGTGCTCAGTGGCTAGAGCATCGGGCCCGCAGACCCAAGGGGAGCAGGTTCGATTCCCAGTCAAGGGCACGTACCCGGGTTGCAGGTTCTATCCCTTCCCCGGGGCGCGTGTGGCAGGCAACCAATGGATGTGTCTCCCTCACACCGATGCTTCTTTCTCCCCCCCCCCCCCCCTTTCCACTCTCTCTGAAAAGCAATGGAAAAAATATCCTCTAATAAGGAAAAAAAGAATCAAAGGAGGAGGGGACATAAGGGAGGTTTACATGAAATTCATTGGTGGTAGGTTAAGGAGGTAGGAGAAGGCAAAGCGGGGAAATTTCTGAGACTGGATAAAGAGTAAAATGGAGAGACACATACTTTTCTTTACATCTGAAGTACACGATAGTTAATTAACAGCACATAGAGATGGTTTGAGAGGAATAGAGTAACAATGGGGGGGCCTCTGCTCTGGTGGGAGCTTGTGCTCTGAGGGGTCCAGGAAAAGGGAATTACTCTGACATTCCAAGGGTATGTTATCCGAGATGCAAAAAGACAATGGACAGGCTTACTTAGTAAACATTGGCCTTTGTTAAGGAAGCTCAAGGCCTAGGATGTGATTACCTGCAATGACTCGGTTTTAGTTAGGAATCATTATATGCATATCATCCTATGTGGTTACTTTTGGTCTCTGGGTTTGTAAGTTCCGCCTTGTGGGCCTCCCTGAGCTTGTCAGGTTTAGTATGTGGCCCCTTTTTCATCCACAGCTTTTAAACAGTAGCTAAGCTTTAAGTCAAAGAATGGAATCTGTAAGATAAGTAATAAATATTTGTAGTTTCTAATTTGAGGAGTAAGAAGATAAAAGTACTATTTTTATTCTTGGAAACTTAAACAAATAGCTATTAAGCCTCCTTTTGTATACTAACTTTGCTGTACACTGGGAAGAAGTTAAATAATATGACTACAGCTTAAATGCTGTGTGGAAATGATTTTTAACTCCTCACCACCTGTCTGCTTGTTTGTAAACAACAAGATCAATGTGTAGAGACCTAGCACAGTACCTGTCATTTAGTAGTTTCTTAGTAAATGCAAGTTTTCTATCTTTCCTTTTATATTCCTCAAAAGGGTACTGGACATGGCATCTTCTCAGTCCCTATTTTGTAAGCATCAACTTAAGTTCTTTTATTTGGACAGGTACTGCTCACATGATAGAGGCTGATGTCCTCCTTCCAAGTGAGGGATCAGACCATGACCAGCCGATCATGGCCCATCCTCCTGAAACAAGCAGTGATAATACTCTACAGGAATGGCTGACCGAAGTTATGAAAAGCAATAAAGGCATCAAGCTGGATTTCAAGAGGTATTTGTACAAATATGTTCAGTCTTCTGGTTGTTACAAAATAATTTTTGGGGGAGGAAAGTTAATAGCCTCTTATATCTGTGCCTGACTGACTTTGTACTTCTATCTAAATTGAAATGGAATTGCAGACTGATACATTCTAGGAACGGATCTAAGACCCAGTGAGCTGTTTGCTTGAATTGTTTATTGAGGAATCCTTAGAGGCAAAAATTAAGTTGATTTTTATAAAGGAATTTATTGTAAGTGACCATTGTGGTAATAGGACAGTAAATTTAAAATGCTTCTTTTGTTAAATGGTAGTTCAGACGAGAAGGAGTTGAGAGAATTTTGTTGGGGTAATTAATGCATATTCTACTTGATATATGTTATTATATTTGTACAGGGGAAATTATTTAGAATTCTTCAATAACTGAAATATTCCTTAAAAACAATATTTTGGAGGCATTGATAATGAAGAGCAAGATTAAGTATCATTTTCTTCCCTGTGGCTTTCACAGTAAGTTTAACTTCTGTGGTATTTTGGTAGTGCGAAATATATAGGTAAAGCCAGAAATAAATTGTGGCACCATAGAAGCTCATCATAAGCCCCACAAAAGCATCTTCTATGAAAATTTAGGACTTGTGGTAAACCTACTTCATCTCTGAACAATGTTTTAAAATTTAATTATCTAAAGATTTGGAAATCTAATTTGTAGTGTTACTAAGATGACTCTAATCATTTGTCGTGGGCTGACTATACCAGTAAACCTCATTATACTGTTGGTGAATGAAAGAGCTATTTACAGTAATTTGAAAAGCTTTTAGGGTTGTGAATGGTCCAATTCCATTTCATTGACAAAGAAACTTAGTTTCAGAGAGGTTAAGTGATTTACCCAAGGACAACAGCTAAGCTTGACAGCTGAGCTAGTACCAGATTTCAGGTTTCCTGGAGCCAGTTCAGTGTTCTCTGTACCAAGAAACAAAGTACTTGATCTTTAATGAATGGTGACTCAAAGTTTTATATCTCCTTGCCTTTCCCTGTGATCAGATTTTCTTTGTGTGTGTTAATATGTTTTTATTGATTTCAGAGAGAGGAAGGGAAAGGGAGAGAGATAGAAACTTCAAGGATGAGAGAGCCATTGGTTATTGATTGGCTGCCTCCTGCACACCTCCTACTGGAGACCAAGCCCAAAACCCAGGCATGTGCTCTGACCGGGAATTGAACTGTGATCTCCTGGTTCATGGGTCAGTGCTCAACCACTGAGCCACACTGGCTGGGCTCAGCTCATTCTGTCTTCAACATTGACAGCTACCACAGAAGGGCTGAGCCACTGAGAAAGGATTTTGCAGATTTTTGGTAATAGCATGTTTGAAGAGTGTTGCTACCCTGACTGGAGAGTTTACAGTGAAGCACCACCCTCCACTACCTCTGTAAGAGTAGCTGAATGACCTGCCCGTCAGACTTTATTAGTTCTTGTTTTGTGCCTTAAAGTTATTTTATTTAGTATACAAATAATAACCAAGTAATATATGATGATTTAAAAATTTTATTTAGAGCTTTAGCAAACTCCTGTGTTTTAGCAAAATATTATTTCCCTTGGAATGTAATTTTAATGGTATATTGCAATTTTAAGTATGATTTTAATTGTCACTCCTAATTTCTAAATGAATTTAATAGAAAAATAGGATGTGATACTCAGAAGTTTGACATACAAATACCTTCTTAGGAAAAAGAACCTAGTCTATAAAAATTGTTTATATTTTTTTCTAGGGATTTAGAAAAGTACTAAGCAAAGAGAAATTTTAGATAGTATTCTGTCAGGACTTCCCTCTTCAAATGATCAGTGTGGCAAACCTTTTGACACTTCTTTATGGGAAACTAAATACTAATACATGAAAGAACTGAGAATGTTGGCTACTGGTATTTTAAATTAGAATTACATGGAATTTATAGTTTAATTGGGAGGGACGTGTCATTTTGCGTCTTTACAATATTGAGTCTTCCAGGCTTTTCCTCCATATCTACTCTTGTAGAATTATTTTGTTAAGTTCTAGAAAAATAAGAACTATGACAACAAAAGTTTTATTTCCCTTAGTAAGGGCTTATGTTTTTCTTAATGTAGGTTTTGTTTTTCTTATTTAAGTTTTGGAAAGGGAGAGTATCGTTACTTTTTGTATTAGTAGTCTATGTAAGTGGTTATTAAAATATTTACATATAAAATGGAATATGTGTATTAAATTCTTGCTTCATTGTGTCATAGCTTATTACTGCACTGTGCTTTATATGTAGTAGACACATATATGCTGATGGAAGTTTGATTTTGGGGAGAAAATGCTGTTTGACACTAGATATTGTGAGGTGCAAAACCAATGTTAAAAGCCTATGTCAGCTTACTAAATTGAGAAAGCCTAAAAAGTTCCCCAACCTTTGCAGATACCATATTTCTTAAGAAATCAGAGTCCTTTTTGAAAAAGAGTTTCAGGGTTTCCCCCTGCTCCATCCAGGAAGAGGAGGACCCTATAGGACTTGCAGTGAAGCAAGCTTTGGAGTTACAGGTACCAGTTGCTTGCTACCAAAAACGGGGGAATTTGTAGGAAGTACAGTGTCAGATTCTCAGAATTGTGGTTTTTACATGGTATTGATACCCTTCAAGGCAGAGAGCATTTAAGATGACAGCATCTAAATTAGAATCTGCAAGGCCCAGCATTAGAGTTTATCAATCCACTAAAATCTAGGGCCTCCAATAAAAAAGAATGGAATCTTACCACTTGCGATAGCATGGGCAAACCTAGAGGGTATTATGCTAAGTGAAATAAGTCAGGCAGAAAAAGGCAAATACCATGTGATTTCACTTATATGGGGAATCTAAAGAGCAAAATAAACGAACAACAAAACAGAAACAGACTCATAGGTACAGGGAGCAGACTGATGGCCACCAGAGGGGAAAGGGGTTAGGGGGCTGGGTGAAAAAGGTGAGGAGATTAAGAAGTACAGAGTGGTAGTTATAAAATAGTCATGGGGATGTAAAGTACAGCATAGGAAATATAGTACATAATATTGTAATAACTATGTTTGGTGCCAGGTAGATAATGGAAGTATCAGGGAGAACACTTCGTAAAGTATATGATTGTCTAGCCACTATGCTCTACATTTGAAACTAATACAACATAATATTGAATGTTAACTGTAACTGAAAATTTTTTTTAAATTCAAAAAATATATTTAAAATCTAGGCCCTCCATTCCAGGGGCAGAAGAGTGGGGGGGAAAGAGTGGGAGCAGAGTGGAAGACTAGAGGCTGGTTTCCTCTGGTTTAAATTCACAGCATCCTTGCTCACTAATAAACGTGACCAAAGAAATAATGGGATTATCAGTTTCTCTTCTTAAAGGAGAGGGCCCGAAAGGAGTGGAGTGAAAGTGGTAGAAGCATAGGTGGAAGGATTCCAGTTCCTTGAGACGAAAGATGGAAATGTGAGGAGGGGCTGCTGACTGTTTTCCCCTCCAGCGTCCATCTCCAAAGTTCTTAGCTTCCCGTCACAGTATTCACTAAAAGCTCATTTTCTTAGACATCAACATAGGCCTTAAAGGTTCAGAAGTGGGTCAGAATTATAAGTAGTGTAGTTTTCCAGTAAAGTTTGTGTATACATTTTTTAAAAGGATAAATTAGATAGGCTGATTAAACTATTGTGTCGCCCGGCCGGGCGTGGCTCAGCGGTTGAGCGTCGACCTGGGATCCAGGCAATCGGGGTTTGATTCCCGGTCAGGGCACATGCCCCGGTTGCGGGCTCGATCAATGTCTCTCTCGTCATTGCTGTTTCTATCTCTCTCTCTCCCTCTCCTTTCCTCTCTCTGAAATCAATAAAGATATATTTAAAAAAACAAACAAACAAAAAACAAAACAAAAAAAACTTTATTGTGTCAAAATCTTTAGGTGTCAGAATAGATGCTGGGAAATATAAAGAGTGAAGCTGCTTTTTTATTTAAAAGTAACTAAATATAGTTGTCTCTAGTTTCCAGAAAATGTGTCTAAAGGGGAAAAATGAAGTTTATAAAAGTCTTAAGGGAATTTCATAATTTTACACTGAAATCATTTTAAGAATGTGTTTATGTGTCCAGATTCACGCAAGAATACACGAAGGGAAAGTGGTTCTTTTCTGCAAGGTCATGAGCAGTATTAGAGACATGGTACCTGAGTGCACTGTAAATATTTCATAAGTGTGAGTTTGTAGGTTATGAGCATATCTAATCTTTAAATCTTATTTATACATTCTCTGATGAGTGAATATTTGTATCTTTTTTTAAATTGTTTTTATACTAAGTGATCCTAATATATAGTTTTGAAACCTCCATCTGTCCACAAGTGGCATTATTCATATATTTATAGAACCTTTAAGGTGCCTTCATGAGTAATAAGTATGAATCAACATTTTGAGATATGGCATATGTTAACTTTCCTCTCTGGTGCTATGCAATCTTTGATTTTATTTAATTCAGGTCTTATTGTATTATACTTTTATTATGAATTTGAGAACGTTAAAACCACTAGTCTAAAAGAACTTTTTACTTTTACTTTAGGAATATCTCTCATTGACAACAAACTGTGTTTTCAGTCTGGCAGCTGTAGAGCCGGCCATGGTGCTCTTGGAAAATGTGAAGCAGCATCTGAAGCGTCCTGTCTGGATTAATGCTGATATTCTTCCTGGCCCAAATGGGAACAGCAGAGTAGTGGATGCAAAACCTTTTATAGACACTGTGACTTCCTTCTTTCCAGATGTGACATTTTCCCTCGGTTGGACAACAGGATGGCATCCTGAAAAAGTCAATGAAGGTAATAATTTTAAAAATGTATTTCTTGTTGTTCAAATTAAAATATACTCCAAATATAAAAATAAATACCTTTAATACAAAATCAAAAACGTATTCCACAAAATCTAAGAGCCTAATGGAGAGAAAGGCCTGGCCCTAAGGACATGTGTATGATACTTCTCTGTCATTTCAGAGAGACGCTGCATTCATGGGTGACATTCTGTCACCAGCTTCCATGAGAAATATTTAGTGGCAAGGTCTAGAATAATGAAAGCTGCCTCTTTACATACTTTAAACAAATCCTGAGTTGGTCTCTTTGAACTTGTAAAACATTCTATAGTCTTTTTCTTTCTACTGTGGAACAGACTCGCTTTGTCAGATGCAAGATAAAAAGTGGTAATAAGAGCTTTCTGTGCGGTGCGAGGCCAGAAGTAGGGGGAGTGTGGTTGAAGAGCACGGGTGCTGCTCCCTAGCCATTGGAGGGGCTCCAGGGCAGGGTGCTGGGACCTTGGTGCCCTCATGCTTGCTTTGGCTGGACGGGAGTGGGAGGCCATGAGACTGTTCTCTAGGCTCGATCCCTTCTTTCCTTCACATATTCCTACAGATGGACCTAATATTTTTAGCTTCTTTTTCCTGGTTGAAACTTATTACATTAATTGGGGTTCATCTTTCTATTTTTTCATACATCCCTAGGTAGTGATTTCCAGGCAAACAGCCAGTAAGCAATCAGATGCTCTGGGGCACCTGTCCTTGTTGTAAAAATGATAAACTAAGAAGGTATTTAGAACCTATGGAGATGTTAACCTTTATCCTGTGTTCAGGGCATTCATTTTTTACTTATTTGCTATTATTGTTTAAATTTATTTATGTATTTATTTATTTAAAATTAAATTTATTGGAGTAACATTGGTTAATAGGATAATATAGGTTTCAAGTATATATTTCTATGATAAAAGATCTGTATATCCTGTGTGTCCACCATCCAAAGTAGTATTGTTTTTAGATAGAAAGATTTTTAGTTTAACATGAGATTAGTGTAACTGCTCTCTAGTGAGTAGTAACATTTAGGTTATAGCCCCCTGGACCAACAATTGATATGTTTGAGAGGAGAAAATAATGTTTTAACTTAATCCTAGTTTAATTTTCTAATCATTTTAGTTTTTATTAGTTTCATTAAAAAATATAGCATATAACTTAAAGTGTTAAAGAGGTAAACTAGAAATGACTTAGTAACTTGCCTACTGATCCTGAATTCCTTTAGTCACTGTCTGGTGCAGGCTCTGACCTCAGATGCGCACTGAGTTAGCTGCCCCTGGGCCTGTGCGCTATGCTGGTGGCGGGGTTAAGGCCGTTCCCTCCCCCCCATCACCCACACGCTTAACCAAGAGAGTTGACAGGGTTATAGGGGAGCAAGTACGGCTTCTGTTAGCAGCTTTTCTAATGAAAAATATGTAGTTTTTCAGATTTTAAAGGAAAGCAGACATTTCCCTTCTTTCATGGGAAATTTAGCTGCTATGCTAACATAATCACATAGGCTTTCTGTAAAATGTTCTTTTACTGACCAATACTTTTTACAAACTGCTTTTCATAGAGTTTAGGGTTATTTTTAAAATACAGTTTTTTTCAGAAGCTGTTTGTAAACAGTCGAGTGTGTTTTCCATAACGTCCTAACATGACTAAAAACACATATATAAAAATCAATTTTACCACTATTTCTATTTTAGGTAAAATGTATTAGAAATCTGGAGTAGCCAAAAAAAAAAAAGAAAAATATCACCCCAATAAATTCAATAAAAAAGTTAAAAAAATTTTTTTTAAAAATTGAAGTTAATTATTAAATCGCTAGTAAATACCTAGTAGCCATCTTTCTCTTGGAAAAGAAAACTTAATTAACACAAATGGAAAATATTAGTTTATAAAGAATATTAATGATGAGGAAGTACCTAAGAGTCTTAGACTCTTTAAAGTAACTACTGTCAAAATTTGCGTTTTTTGCACTTGAGATATTAGTAAATTCTTCTTAATATTTAAATTTGTTAAATTTCCTGTAGATCACTTATGTCATGATTTTAGATTTAATTTTTATCTACATTTTCTACCCAAAATATTTTCTTACATTAAGTGGTATTTTAATTCACTTTGAATTCAAATGGAAATTTGTATGAATTACCTATGAATTTAGTTTTTATTTAATTGACTTTAGTATTCCAATTAGCAAAGTTAAATTTCTTTCTTTTCATTTCAGGTTATAGCTGGACAATGGTGAAAGAGATGGAATGCATATGTAATGAACTAAGTCAACCTGTAACTTTTCCTGTCAGAGCAGCGTTGGTCAGGCAGTCTTGTTCTCAGTTACTTTGGCTGTTAAAACAATCAAACAGGTATGTATAAGTTTAACAATATAGTGTGTGCATGTGAGTGTGTGTGAGAAACAGGGACCATGGATGAAAACTGATTATGTCAACATAGTGTGTGTGAGAGAATGAACACTGATTCTGTAAGCACATGGACTCCCTCACTAGAGTGAAGTTTCTTAACGAACCTTAACATCATCTATTTCTCACAGTTTTTGCACACAGTAGGTGCCCAGGAAATGTCACTTCTTTCATTGTTATACATTCACAAAAAGTTATAAGTACATAATATAGTTTCCCTCTGAATTCTGCCATAATTTCAGAAGTCTATTCCATAAAAACTTCTTTTTTTAAAATCCTCACCCAAGGATATTTTTTAAATTGATATTTTTAGAGAGAGAGGAAGGAGGGAAGAGAGAGAGAAACATTGACCTGAGAAACATCTATCACTGACTCCTGTACTCACTCCATCTGGGGACTGAACCGGAATGTAGGCATGTGTTCTGACCAGGAATCAAGCCCACAACCCTTTTGGCCTACAGGACGACACTCCAACCAACTGAGCCACTTTCTGGGTTGTCTTTGTTATCTATTATTTTCTCTTTAGTCTCTTTTTCCTTTTAGTTTATTTGCATTTTTTTTACTTGATTTTTTAATTTGTCTTCTCTATTTCTTAAAATATTTTCAACAATGTCTTTTCTTCCTTATATACCTTCAGATTTTACCTTGTTTCTGTAATAGTATTAATTTTCTACTTCTTTCTAAGATCTGCCAATTAATGTTTTATCATCTCTTTTCTGTTGTCTTGCATTTGAGCTCATATGTCTGCTTTGTGCTCTTTCTTCAAAGAGGTAATTGCATTACTTTAAAAGTGTTTGGTTGTGGTTTTCATCTGCTCTGTGGCATTCTTTTTTCTTTTTTTGTTTTATATTGTTTCAGTTGCCTGATAGTTGTTTAAAGATGAAATTTTTATTATTCCACCTGCCATTTGCTTTTTCTTATATTTGGTTGTACTCTCTTGTATAAAACTTCTGCCAAGTTTATTTTGATTCCTCTACTTTAAAAAAAGTGCGTTTTTCCTGGACCAGCTACTTGTCCAAAGTTCTTATTCAAGAGGAACCAGGACTATGGTTCTTATGACCAGAGAGTCTTATGTGTGAGTTTGTTTAACCTTTAACTTCTCCCCAGTCAGTGCAGATAGGCAGTTGTATCTTTAAGTAAAATCTTTCATCTATCTCTTAAATTTAAAATTTTGGATTTCCACAGGAGCAGTCTTATTCCCTGTGGCTTTCCTGTGTGAACTCTTTCCTTGTCTCCACTGCTTCTGGGAGCCAGACCTGATCCAGGAAAGTTCACATGTTAGCTCTGCATAGTGTTTATGTGGAATATGCCCCGATTCTATAGGTGTTTTTTGTAGGCCTCTGTAATCTGCATACATGGGCAAACTACACCTCTTTATGTACCCGTCTGGCCTTAATCTGTTGCTACCTGAAACCTTTTCACTTGTGTTGTAATTTTCAGTCTCAGCTCTTTCTTAATCTCATTGAATATCAAGTTTCCGTTTTAATTCTTCTGTTCTTTTTGCTGCTTTTGGGTGATTCTTGGAGAAAAAGCAAGTGGTGCTGACTTTAGGGTGCTGTGTTCAAATAGGATGTTCCCACCACCCCATTTCTTTCATTGTCTACTGCCTCAGTTTTCTCGTCTTCCATTTCTTATATAGCCAATCACTCATTTCTCATTTGAAGGTCACACTTTGTTCAAGCCAGATTCTTAACCTCTGCAGCATTTATTTGAGCGCTGCTGGTCTCCCCCTGCAGCCTTGTCCTTCGCCTCGTGGCGTGGCACTAAGTAGGCTCTTCTCTGTCTCCATCTAGTTCTTCTTTGTTGTTGATTTGTTTTCCTCTATCCTTAATTTCATATGAAAGGTAAAACAACAAAGCTTTAATGGAATATATCACTAAAGAATATCTACATAATATTGGAGAAGGGAAAGAATTATTAAACAAGACACAGAAATCACTAGTCATAAAGGGGTATGTTTGAGTAGTTTGAATACATTAAAATTCAGAAGTTCTTTCCATCAAAAGATACCATAAAGAGCATGGACAGGTTAGGCACAGAATTAGGGAAGATTTTAGTAACTCAGAAGGGCTCTACTGTAGAATTTATAAAGAACTATCATTCTATTATTGTATATCACAATTTATCTCTTCTATTATTGACTGACATTTAGATTGTTTCATGGTTTTGACTATTACAAACATTGCTGCACACACACTGTGGTGCACATGTGTCTGCATTTAGAAAGGTTATCTCAGGAGGGAATTTTAGAAATAGAATTTTTAGGTCATAGGGTATTCATAGTTTCAACTTTAGTAGGTAATGCTGAACTGTTTTTCAAAGAAAATTAATAAACTGTAGCTACATGTTTCAACTTGGATAGATTTCATAAACAATATTCAGCAAAAGAAGCAAGACCAAAAATATTATTATATACCATATGATTTCATTTATATAAAATTCATTAACAAGCAAAAATTAAACTGTATTGTTTAGGGATGAATATATTGTTGGTAAATAAAGAAAAGCAAAGGTTGTGAGAACTCCAGGGGAGAGGCAAGGTAGTGATGGGGCAGTGACATAAAGGTGCCTCTCATGGTGCTGGTGATGTTCTCTTTCTTGATTTGTTTTGGTTACACTGGATTTAATTTTCTAATAATTTAAATGTGCATTTATATTTTATGCATTTTTTCTGTGTATGGTATTTCACAAGAAAAAAGGCTTTAAAAATAAGACCTGAGAATTGATTTGAAGGAATACAATTGAAGACACCTTTAGGCAATTTTATTTTTCCTATTTCAGTTTAAATACAACAGAGGGAAGATTAAAAGACGCAGAAGAACCCTGGAAAGCTCTTCTTTTAACCTCAGTTCATATCTATGTCTTTTTATAAGTTTTGTCACCATAGTGCTCAAATTCAGTAGTAAAGATGCCATGTTAGCAAAAATATAGGTTTTTAAAGTAATTCTCAGTTTTTCTTTTCTGTGTTCTTAGCTGTAGTTTAAATTTTTTTGTCACATAACACTTCTGTGGAAGGAAACCCAAAGTGCTTCTTCTGTTACATTTCCAGAATGTTTTCACCATCCTTGAGGACAGGACTGTGTCAATATAAGAAGAATAGATTGTTTTTTATCATTAGTAGAAAAATGCTTTGGAGATTTTCCCCTGGATTCTTACATGTTTATAGGGAGAATAAATATGAAACTACTAAACAGCTTTGCATTTCCCTAGACTCCAATGCAATAGGGATAATGTAATAGTAATGTCACTGGAAGAAATGAAAATAAACAATTTAACATTAAAATTCTGAGCATATTCTCATATCCCTAATAAATCTACATATATTATTATTGTTTTTTAACTCCAGAAGTGGATCTAAATTTATTCCATTTTGCATTTTTAGTGACATCTTTTGGCACATCTCATACAAAAACCCCAGAAGGGATAGTGGGGCAACTTATAAGTAAACATGAATGTTGGGGATGTCAGTGGCATTTATGTCTCTCCACTGTTCCTTATGGTTGTGCTTTGACTCTGGTCATGCTACTGAAGAAACCTGGGTTAGAGCTGTAGTTTTTATTGATTCCTGGATCAGCAGCACAGTCTGCTCAGTTCTTTTGTCCACAATTTGGCCCATTTTCAGTGCCACCAGTCTGGGTTTCTAAAGCCATTTGACATTTGTGTAATTCAGATATAGCAGTTAGTTAATTTAGCAACAGCAATATGTTTTTTCTCTCTCTCTAGTCTGTTTAATGTTGATGAAGGAATGAAAGTATAGTTTCACCATTGCTAATTAATTTTTTTTATCTGTGTGAATTTGGGTTAGAGACAAGTGAGAGTAACTATTTTTAGGCTTATTGGAATTCCTCATCACTGTCTCTTATCTTTCACTTTTGACTATATAATTCTGTTTTATTTTAATGCAGGTACAGCCTGACTCTTTGGACTGGAAAAAATGATAACTATTCCATTGAAGATTTACTTTGTATTAGAGACCAGTTTGACAAAAAACAAGTTTTCTATGATATCTTGGAACCACAAAATCATGAATTTAAACAAGCCATTGGAATCAAAGTTAATCTCTAAGAAGAAGATTGTTCTAAATTATTTCTAAATTATTTTGGTTTCATAATCTAGATTGTTCTAAATTATTTTGGTTTCATAATCCTTCTCTGCTTTGGTCTGAATTAATTACCATATACATTATGATGACTGAGTTATGTTCCAGTTCATCCCATCAAAAAACACTTATTGAGTGCTCACAATATATTAGACATATGCCCTTATAATACTGTACTTACCTAAAAGATTTGGAAAGAAGAGATTTCAGTAGGCCTAGTCTAATAATTTAGAAAAATGATGTTTTAAAACCCTTTATAAAAAATAATTTTCATATACTGAAGATAACCGAAAGAATCCATATGTTATAATAGGTACGTTTGATAAGTCACATTTTGTTGGCACTTACATTCCAGAGATCCACAAAAATGTGACACCCTCTTCCCATTTTCCTGGAGAAATAGTTATTTCAGAGACTACCAAAGAGTAGGAAGGCTTCAAAAGTGTTTTTAACTCTCACGGGGCTGAACAGCTTTCTCAACAAAATCAGACCCACTTACTGAAAACCATATAAATTAAATTAGGTGGGTCTAGAATTTCCATATTGTTGGGAGAGTGCTGACTGCTATGTATATTTTTGTATTCTTTGTTTCAATCATGGTATCTTCTCTATAGTGAGCAAAATGCTCTTGGAGAGCAGAATTTTAATCCTGGTAATATGTCATTTGATTTGCAAATTTCTGACCAGCACCGCCTTAGTTCAGGCCCTTGTTCTGCTCCCAGAATTTCAAAGCCTAGTTCTCCATGACTTCATTCTTCACTCAGAGATACCCTGAGTATTTCTGCTGATGAAAAAAAATTTAGAACACCCCTTTATTAATGCCAAATCCCAAAACTCCAGGGGCTTCTTAAAACCAACTTTATTAAGTTTTACTCTTTCAAGGCCCTTGCTAACATACCCTTACTCTAAAAGCCCTTCGGTGTCCTCCAGCACAGTTCCTTGTCCCAAAGGTGCCTATGTCAGCAGTCTCTAGATCTTACCTACTAATTTTACCTATTTAAAATTGTTCAGTAATTGCGTCCTACATGTTAGGCCCCTTCAGCCGACTATAATGTGCTTCATGGTAAGGGAGCATGCCTTTTGTGTTTAACCCTCACCCAAGGTTATGTTTTTATTGATTTTTATTGATTTTTTAGAGAGAGAGAAGGGAGAGAGAGAAAGAACACCCACTTGAGAGAGAAACCTCAGTCTGTTGTGTCCCATTGGCTCCCCTGCCAGGGATCAAGGCTGTGACCTGGGTACCCCCTGGTGGGGAGTCCCAGCCGCCAGCTTCGGGGTGCGGGAGGCGCCCCCCAGGCGAGCCGCCCGCCGGGAGCTGCTTTACTGCCCCGCCAGTGCGGGGCAGGGCCCTGAGCAAGGCATGCAGAGGAACCTCGCAGCTTGGATCCACTGGAAAGGACCTTACCGCCCTGCCTGGGTGGCTCGGTGGCGAGGGCACCGGCGGGAGGCCCGAAGGGCCCGGGGTTCATCTGCCAAGGCCGCGCCCCTCAGTGCAGGCTCCATCCCCCAGGCAGGGCGCTGCGGGAGGCAGGGGGTCGGGGTGTCTCATGTCGACGGACCTCTCTCTCTCTCTGTCTCCCCCGCCCCCTCTCTGAAAAGAAATGGGAAAAATAGCTTCTGGTGAGGATTAAAAGAAAGAAAAGTAATTTAACAATGAGTATCCTAAGATACGTAATTTGCCTTTTGTTTATTGACCATTTTCTCCCAGAGAATAAAGTAGTTCCTTTTAGGAAAAAAAGAGCTTGGGTACTGAATTCAGGCAGACTTCCCTTATAGCCCCACCTCTGTCCCTTACTAGACGTAGATTTGGGGAAATATTTAACCTCATTGAGTCTTGGTTTCCTCATCTATAAAATGGGGGGGCGGGGGAGGGTGAGGACTCTCTGTGGGGTGGTTGTGAGGTTTAAGGAGATCTGTCCTAAAGGAGGCGACTAGATCAGTGCTGGTCAGAGCAGGGCTCGCTCCAAGGTAGACCGGTGGGGAGCAGTAAGAGATGGAACATGGAACATTGTGGACATACAAATACTTAAAACAGTCATGTTTCCACTTTAAATTTCAGCTCCAACTGAATGCGGTACAATTTGTCAAATAACACCTAAAACTTCACTTTCTATCATTGTTTGCCCAAAGCAAAAGGTACAATGTCATAATTTTAAAATTTTAACAATTGCAACAAAGAACACCTCTTAAAATTATGGTAAAAATTGTTTAATTTATAAATATTCTACAATGACCATGCTTTTCTTTTATAAAGGGAGTTGAATTTGTAAATGAACTGCATTTTAATGAAGTTGAAATAAAATTCATTTGTCCAGATTATTTTTATTACTTGATTATCTTACCCATGAAAATACTTTAAAAATATTAGTCTTAAGGCAGAATTCTTTTATATTGAGAAATATATCAACTGAGTGTCACTTAAATTAAGATTTAAAAAGAGATATATATATATTTAAATACATTTCGCCTGGCCGGTGTGGCTCAGTGGTTGATTGACGACCCATGAACTGTGAAGTCACGATTTGATTCCCAGTCAGGGCACATGCCCCTTAGGGAGCGTGCAGGAGGCAGCCTCGTGCATGGGTCAGCGCTCAACCACTAAGCACACTGGCTAGGCAATATTAGTATTTTTAAACCTTAATGTATAGGAATGCCATACAATATTATATACACGTTGAGAATCTACATCTATTAATTTGGAAAGATGTTACAATATATTGCAGGCTGCAAAACATATGGTATTTATGTAAAATTGTATGTCTTTATGGGCATTTATATACATAGGAAATATTTGGGAAGAGGTTTACAGACACAAAATAAGTAAAAGCTTAAGTACCACCTATTTTTCCCCTCCAGGTTCTCAGGGTCTAATTGATTGGTGTTGAGATCCCATAGCATTCGAGGGTCATTTTCAAGCCCGGCAGAAAAGCCCTATCCTTAGAAAAGACCTTGGTATGAGATCCAATTGTTAAAAAAAAAAAATCAAAAAAAATCAGAGCTTTTAAAAGTATAGTAGCTGCCTGACCAGTGTGGCTCAGTGGTTGAGCATCAACCTATGACCCAGGAGATTGAGGTTCCATTCCTGGTCAGGGCACATGCCCACGTTTCAGTCTTGGTCCCCAGTGTGAGGGGGTGCAGGAGGCAGCTGATCAATGACTCTCATAATTGATGTTTCTCTCTCTCTGAAATCAATAAAGATATATTTTTAAAAAGTACAGTAGCTTATGGCTCTGTAAGAATGATGATTAATTGCTAATAAGGCAGGTATATATTCATTTATACAGTGGGAAGTTATTAAAAGTTATTCAGAGCAGTGCTCACTCTGGCAGCACTTATACTAAAATTGGAAGGATACAGAGATTAGCATGGGTCCCTGAGCAAGGATGACATGCAAGTTCGTGATGTGTTTCATACTTTTAAAGAAAAAAAAGTTCAGAACAGTTTATTTGCTTGTTTGTTGGAGCTGGGGTCCTGGATTTGTTATTCCCTTGTGATTCAAAGAAATTAAGTACTTAGTAAATATATAGAAAAAAATGCTCTCCCACCTTGAAATTTAAGATGTGAGCCTACCTGGTTGGAGCCTACAATGTGTTTATAATCGCACATTTATGAATCAATGCAAGGAAAATAATTGAGTGTTAAGAACTTTATCTAGAAAATGGAAGTGTAATGAATAAAAGTGGACCCAAGGGGAGCTGATAACCAGAGCCTGGAAGAAGCAGGGCGGGATCTGGGGGCTTGCGGGACGTCCGTAGCAGGAGCTCAGGGGCCTTGCTATAGTGTTCCACAGCAATGTCACTCTTCTACTCTTCCCTGTGGCTGCTTGTCTCTCTTCTTTGTATCCACCATCCTTTGGTCCAGAGACCATAATTTGTTCAGCCACTTGGGTCTTTCATGAGGCAGACACATGACTTCAGGGCTCAGTAGGAACTCTGGGGAGGGAGTGGGCAGGCGTGTCATTGATGGTTTTGTGCTGAGGCTGTGCCAGTAATTCAGAAATGATTCCTATCTCAAGGGTGGTACAGTTTGCAGAGAAAGAGAGTCTTGTAAATAAGAAGTTGGATATTTGCTGTAACTCCTATGATGGAACTACACACTAGGTTGTGGTGGGAAGACAGCAGTCTGTTCTAGTTGATGGAAAACACTTAAGTTGTGTCCTGACTGATGAATAATATTCACCAGGTAGACTTACGGAGGGAAGGGCCTTTCGCGCAGAGGCATGTGAGGAAAGGAACTCTAAATGGGAAAGAGACGAATCTGACCTGTTCAAAAAAATTTGTGGAGGTTCCGTGCTATGAGGCAGGACATTTAGGCAGGGGCCAGATTCATTTTCCATGTTAAGGAGTTCGCTCCTTTTGTCTTGGCCGTGGGAGTCATCCCACCATGTTAAGCAGGGAAGCATTATTGTCAGTTTTGAGTGCGAGAAAGGTGGCTACAGCGGCACGAGAAGGACGCGTGGAATTCTGGAAGTGGAGGGAGATGAAGTGCTGAATTAAGGTGGTAGCCAAAGGGGATGGAAAGGCTCAGGAGGCAGAGGAAAGGTTAAGGAGGTAGAACTTGTAAGAGTTTTAAACTAGTTGAATGGGAAGGACGGGGGAGAGGGAAGAATCTAGCGTATGTATTTTTGGCTTGAGTAACAGAGGATCAGGTGGTGCCACTGACCCAAACAGGATAGGACAGGGGCCAGGAGTAGCTGTGTTTCTCAGTGATTACTTGATATTGCTAAAGATACTAACTTGGAAGGAAAAGTGAAAACCTCATCTGCCTCCTCCTGAATTTGTTCACCTCCCATTCTAACTTTAAAAAGGATGCTTTTTAAATTCTACCAGTTTCTTAAAGGACTCTCCCAAGTAATTGCTACTTTACTATACATTCTAAAGTAAAAAAAAAATTAAATAATAAACTACTCCCACTGTTCTACCATAAGAGTAAAGAGAAAACAGGCAGGGCTTGAAAGGGGCTCACCCGGCCTCCTGCCCTATAAGGAGGCTCTTCTGTGTCTATGCTTCTGCACATTTAGGGGATGGACCGGCCTGGTTAAACCTGGCAGCTGAGCTGTCCTGGATTTGGTTGCTGCTGTAGATCTTCATTAAGGCTGGTCATTGCCCCTTTCTTCTTTCTTTTTTCCTTGGGGTGAACGTAATAATTTAACAGACATGTTGGCTGTGAGAGTCTGTTGCTACTTTGTGAATTCAAGAGCTAATAAACTCTGGACCTACATGGCCAAAAAATTTTAATCCCATTAAATATGTATTTTTTTTCATGGTGGGATGAGAATAGCGACAAAGCTACTCTTTCTTAGTTTTCTGTTTACTCAGAGTAACGTGGCACAATTTTTCTTGAGAGTATGTTGAAATATTTATCATTAGTATTTGAGATAAATAAAAACCAGTGATAACGAAAATGACATTTTAAACCTTTATTGATACCATTTTGTTTATGAACTAGTCTATTTACATATTCTTTCAACCCGTATCCATACAACTAAAAGCCAAGCACTTTTCTCAATATCAGAACTTGCAAAAAGGTACAATTCTAAGTTCTGAATCAAAAAATATTTCTAATATAATTAATATTAATGTTCTTCAAAACATTAAATGGAACACCTCCAGTTGTGTTTTTTTTTAAAATAAAAGCCACAAGAAATTAAATAATCACTATCTACATTATAGCTTGCTTCTATCAAATTACTAAGAAAAGCATGATGTCAATTGTCAGGATCTCTTTACTGATAGGAGGCAAAGAAATTGTATATGACAACATCAAGTGAACGCACTCAAATTTTTATAATTTGACTTACTCTTTGTTGTAAACCGTTAGATTAAAATAAGGATTCTTTGTATAAACACCGTATTTTGAAATTGTATAGATAATATAGTCATTTTATAATATTTTATAATAGTAGCATAATAATTGTTTTGTTAAAAGTTATTCGCAGGTCTTAGAGTACTATATGATTGGAATGTCACACTAAAGAAATTACCCTTATACATCCTTATTATAGAAATGCCTAATAATTATATATCAGAAATAAAGACATTGTTTAATATTGACTGAATATTTAGTACATCTTGTAATTAAATTTCTACTTGCTTTCTTAATTTTGGCAAACCTAAGCTAATCTAATAATCAGTTTTTCTTTTCTAAAATGAAGCAAGCATTTGGTTTCTATTTGTGATAAATCTCAAACTTTTGGGATTTTTTTTTAAACTTTAAAATACCTTTTTATTGGGAACCTATGGATAGGCTTCAAAAAGAATAACAGGAATTAAAGGCTACGGAGAAAGAATTCCGTAAGATAACATTTTTGTTTAAATGTTTAAAAAACAGAACAAAGCAAGAGCAGCATACAAACACTTGGCACAGACTGTTATCATTAGCATGTAAAACTCGAATTGCCATTTAATATTTGATTAAGCTGACAACTGGAATATTGGCTGCTCCGTCTACTATAATGGTTGACCATTAAAATTTTAATTAGATTTTCATCTATCTGCAGTCAACTTTTTTTTTAAGATTTTTTTTTTTTTTTTTAATCCTTACCTGAGGATGTTTTTTAAACTGAGAGGAAGGGACACAGAGAAACATCGATGTGAGAGAGAAACGCCCATGGGATGCCTCCCATTCACGCCCTGCCCGGGAATGGAACCCTCAACCTAGGTGTGTGCCCGGACCCAGAATGGAACCTGCACAGGATGCTGCTCTAACGAACTGAAACCCCAGCGAGCGGTGCAGATAACATTTTTTAAGAATTAGTTCATCCTTTCTTTGTAGCTTAAGCTTATAGATCACAGAACATTTTGTAGCTGTGTTTTCTTTTATGCTTCTGGCATCATAGAAAACGATAATCTTATTTACTGACTTGAAATGTTAAAAAAAATTGACTTGAAGGCAACCCTTCCTAATAACATATTTGGCGAATCTGGAAAAACGTTTAAAGTTATCTCCAACATATGTGACTTCCTTCCTTTGTTGATTTTTGTTTAAACACTTGGAGCAAATGAAGGTTATTAAACATTGGATGTTTTGAGAAAAATAGCTGTAACTTTGAGAGAATTAATTCCCTTACCAGAAACTAGGTATTATTTGTGTCCACAGTGCCTAGTATGGTACCCAGTACATGTCCATCCCCCTAACCATTACGGACTAACCAATGACAAGATTTCAAAGGATGAACACTGGAGATGTCTTCCGTAGTTGTATTTCTCTGATACAGGCATTTGAACAAAATGTGTTTCCAGCCATCTCTTAAAAATTTACTAACTGCTTAATTTGTTCTGTTTGCAATGACTGTCTCCTTAACAACATTTTTTTACTTTTAGGGAAAACAGGAACTGTTGGCATAAGCACTTTTTGGCCACAAGAAAGAAGGCTGGAAATCTTGTTGACATTGATATCTGTGATGGGAGGGTGAGGATTGACATTTAAGGGAGGCAGAAATCCGGGTCTGGTTTGGGGAAAACTGTGATCTAAAGGGAAAGCTGCTGACCCACGCCTTTCTAACACTGCATGGTTTCTCCTGCTCAGGGGGCCTGGGGGGATACTCTCCAACAATTCTTTGGACCCTGACAACAAGGAAGGAGACGGGGAGAGGATCTTTTTCTTTCCTGTAAGTGCTTTGCCATCTTCTAAAGTTGTAGGGATTAGACCAGCTGAGAGCTGGGAATCAGAGCTGTAGTGGTTTGCCCCCGAGTTTCTTTTTTGAACTATATTTCTTAAGGTGGAAGCAAATATTGTCTGGTTAGAGTCTGGGTCCTGGTCAGCAGGGATTTCAATGCATTGCTGATTTCCTTCTGCAATGAATGATTGATAATTTATTTCATCGTATGATGTCTTTCTTGAGCTGGTCTGATCAAAGGTTCTTAGCAAATGTGCCGTGTCTTTTATGTCAATACTTTGGTGCCTGGTGATGAATCGCTTGGAAAGGGCCAGCCCATTGGTTTTGTAGGATAATTCTTCCTCTGGGGTAATATCCTGGAGCTCCTCCTGCAGGGAGGCCACTCTGTTCTGGTGCATTAACAAGGGGGCACTCTTGATCCAGGGTGAAGCCTGGGGTAGCTTGGGCCCATTGAGGGCCACAGCAGGCTTCCACACAGGGGAGCCTGGGTCCCGGGTATCATCGCGGCTTCCTGACAGCTCCAGATCTTTGAAGCCAAGCACTGTCATTTCAGTTTCAGAAGAATGGGAAGGTGGCGACGAGGCTGTTTTTATGTCTATTTCTGAAGGAGAGGCACAGGCGGAGAGGGAATGACACCCTATATCCGAAGGAGGCACATTTAAGTACTGCTGGGTAGTGAGCCTGCCCGAGGGCGATTTCGCCGTTGTTATGATGATGACCTCTTTTCCTTTGGCCTTGCAAGCACTAAGGAGAACTTGCAGGGTGTCTCTGTCTTCTGCGTTTAGAGCATACACGAGGGCCGAGTAGCTCGAATGGTCTTGCAAGCTGAGGTCCGCCCCACTCTGCAGGAGCAAGGAAACCACCTCGGGGCCAGCCTTCTCTAAGCAGGCGTGCATCAGAGCTGTTTTCCCAGACTTGTCCTGTATGTTGGGATCAGCATTGTTTTCTAAGAGGTATTTAACCATTTTGGCTTTACTGACGCTCTGGTGGTCAACATGCTTGGTCTTGCAGGCGACCATTAGAGGTGTTTCCCCGCGCTCGTTGCTCTCGTTGATGTAGGCGCCGCCTTCCAGCAGGAGCCTGGTGAGGCGGAGGCGGCTCTGGTGCACGGCTTTGATCAGGGAATTCCCATCGCTTGAGATTTCCACACCCTCGTCCATCTTCAAACGTCAGAAATCGACACCTGCTCATCAAAGACAACGAAGACCGAAAGATTAGCCAGAATCAGTGGATCCATTTCTATTCATGTTTTTATTTACAATTTCTGAAATATGTAGAAAGAGGACATGAATGAGATTATGTTACTCGTACAGGGCAAAATAGTGAACTGCAAATAAAAGAGCCTTTAGTAACAAGCTGTAGGAAGTTACAAGCTAAAGCTTACTTTCAGAATCTTCACTGCGCATTTATGCTGTAACACCAACCTAGTGTTTCCCCTAAATCCCACATTAATTAAACAATAATCAGCTTTTTAAGCCAAGCCCTTTAATCATGAGACAGTGAAAACAAAAAACCACCCCAAAAGCCTCTTACATTAAAAATACAGGAACCAAAGGGGGGGTGGTCACTGAGGAAACAAAGGGGACATCTGTAATACTTTCAACAATAATGATAAATTAAAAAAAAATATATTGAGACCAGAACAAACAGAAAAATAGCAGCCTGGAGGAACCAGATATTAGTCTGAAAAATGAAAACTGCAAAAGCTCATCATCCTCAAAGGGATAAGATGTTGTAACCAAGAAGCAACAATAAGATTCTATGGAAAAAAGAATGATTCTGAGGTTCTTCAGCTTATACTCTCCCGAGAGCTCCATCATATATATAGTATTAGCAGTGTTGACCTTTTACTATATTCATCCAGTTTTGTGCTTACAACACAGTTTTTCAAAAATAAACAATCTGCTTAAGAATCATACACAAATGGGAAACTGAAGACGGAAAAAAAGTGAAGGGAATGATTAACATAAAAATCAGGAGAAAGTTATCTCTTGGGGTGGGTGTAGCGAGGGAGACACCAGGGGCTTTTAAGGTTCAGGTAATGCTCTCTCTCTCCTTGGGCGGCATGGACACAGGTGTTCATTTTATTATTTTTTATTTATTTTAAAAATATATCTTTATTGATTTCAGAGAGAGGAAAGGAGAGGGAGAGAGAGAGACAGAAACATCAATGAGGAGAGTCATTGATCGAGCCCGCAACCGGGCATGTGCCCTCACCAGGAATCGAACCCCGATCGCCTGGATCCTAGGCCGACGCTTAACCGCTGAACCACACCCGGCCGGGCCATTTTATTATTTTTTAAACAGTACATATTTCACATCTTCTTTTGTATGATACTATTCTTATCTATTTATTGTAAAATGGAGCATGTATACAGAAAAGAGCACAGCATTCTGTAGGATACGTTTCATAATTAAATTTTATAAAGGGTCTATTTGGTCTTAGTTTTTACAACATAGTTCAGTTTTTGTGGTATTTTCAATAGTATTTATGCCTAGACTCTCAAGGAGCTTCAGCTACTATGCTCCTGAAAAGTAGTGTTAAAAAGAATATCCCTGCTCATTTCCACGTTAATCACTCCTGATAAGCAAAGAAAACTACTCAAAATACACAGACACAAATACAATGAAAGTGAATGCCGTGATTTTATGTTCTATAAAAGTTACCTCAGAGCCAGACATACCTGCGATTCAGGAACTTAGGAATTTGAGGATGGCTGACTGCGTGGGTCCCAGCCCTGGGGTGTGCTCAATGCAAAGCATCTGAAAAGAGCTCACCTGAGACAGTGATTCAAAAGAAACTATCTTTTAGCATTTTTCAAATATAAATGTGTTTAATAAATAAGCTGGGGCATAATATCAACTATAGAAACCACTTAGCAACTGCAGTTCAAGAAGAAAACAGTATCAATAATGTAAAAACACATTTGACCACAAGTAGTGTTTGAGAAATAGACATTCAAATGAGACCATTTCTCGGGAACCACATTTCAATATTATACTCTGATATTGTTTTTAGTATTTTGGCCAATCTTGTTTTTAAAAAAACGTTTTTTAAAAAATATAGTATTATAAGAAGCCTCTGGAAAGACTTTCAAACCTTTTCACCCTAGTTCAGAAATGTCCTTGCCTCTCCCGTCCCCTCCTGGGACACCCTCACTGAGGCCCCGGTGCTGACACCATCATCACATTCAGTCAGACCCTTTGTTATAATCTAGCTTGTAAATGATCCCCAAGTTCAGTTACACCTTCCCAATAAGTAACAGTTCAACTAGAGAAAGTTTAGGGGTCAGACAGACCCAGGTTTTTATCCCAACCACCCTACTTATTAGCTGACTGCCCTGCTCAAGCCTCTCAGCCTCTTAGAGTCCTGGGTCCTCCGTCTGTGAAGGACAATCCTAGAACCTTCATCCCCTGGCGGGTGGTGATGGAACCAGGCAATGTCTACAAAAGACTTTCTTGTATGAAGACTGCGCTCTTCTTTTAAAAAATTTTTAAATTTAGCCTCCTTTTATTCTTACCATGTCCCTAATCCCAGGCCTATTTAAATAACATAAAATATTTAAAATGCTTTTTTAGGATGTGCAAATAATGTTTAGTAAACATAAATGGTATCTAACTAAGTAAGATATGGAATGGAGACATCCTTTTAGTACATTTTCCTTATAATTTCCAAGTACAATAATTTCAACATTATTATAAGAAATTAATTATTAAACAGCTGGATTAATTGCTTTTCATTTTAAAATCAGACCATCTTTAACATCACTTGCAATTCATCTTGGTGTATTTAATGCACTCATCTGGTTCCTCTACTCTCAAGATGCCACCAAAATTACAATTTAGTTATTTAAAAAAATGAAAAAGATATATATCCTGAAGAACAAAGAAAACTGGAGGAGAGAGATCAAGGAGCAATTGCAAGCAAGCTTTGGAAGCAGAGCAGGGATGACGGCTCAGTAAACTGCCTTCCCACAGCAGAGGGTGTGACAGAAATCACCAGGGGCGTGAGCAGGGAGCCAGCTTACCCGCAAGGCCCAGGACGTTTAGGATGCAGAGACTCTAAGTGACACAGCAAGTGGCAACGGAGCACAGGGCTAAAAACAAGAGGACGGCTTGAAGTCTGTGGACGGAACAACTGGACCCCCAGGTATTTTACCCCACCCCAAGTAGCAGACAGCCACTCTTCTAGGCAAGAAAACAGATTTATTCTCTGAACAGACTGATCAGAAAGGCTCCAAACCTCGAGGCAGCAGCCTGAAAACAGGGATAAAGTGAGAGCCTACAGGCTGAATGGTGCCCCCACCCCAGCTTTCTGCCCTGCTGCCAGGAGGCTGGGAGACAGGAGAAAGAGAAACACGCTGGATCTTAGAATTATGACCCCTATTAAAAATATGTCAATAAATGAAGCAATTCAAACTATAACTACATTCACCCCTCCAGACACCCACTCTCAACGGAAGTAGAAAGTTACCTGAAAACACGATTCAAAATTTCATGCTTCACTTATGTCTCTTTTCTCCCTGGATGCGTTTTCTGTCAGCCGGCTGTCGGTTCCTACGAAGGAAATCACAACTATTCAGTTACATAAATACCAACAATTGGTTGCACATCTCTCTCCCATTTGGAGTCTAGTAGCTTTCATTCCTTGTTAAGACATCCCCACGGTGTTTGTTCCCTTAATCATATTTCACTGATTATGAGTCTGTACAAATGACCGGCGTGGATCCCACGCATGGCAGCCCTGTGTGCGTTTGCAGGCCGCAGCTGCCCGGTAAGCAGGGCTGGCCTGGGAAGGGAAGGTGGAGAACTCTCCCAAAGTCACTCCTCACTCGCCTGCTCCCCGGGGCTTCTGCAGAAGGTCCGGGTCCTTTATCTCATGTCTCCTCGCGTCTGGGACGGACAGCTTCCCACAGAGCAGGGCTCTGTCATAAGCACCTGATTCATGTGGTACCTAACTCCGCAGCGCAACATGGGCTGGAGCACTTTAAACGTCATCTTGGAAATGGTGGGCTTGGCCTTTCCTGTGGTGTTTTCTCCCAGAGCCACCTCCAGTTTTCCTTTCATTCGGAGAGAAATGTTATTTTCCTTGGAGCCTCTCACTCCACCTCCAAAGAAGGATCCTGCTGCCTCCCATAATGTCAGCTGTCTGTCTGGTGGGGGAGGCCAGCCAGGGGTGGGAATTAACAAATGGGTCTCGGGTTCCAATTTCAGCCCCTCTGCTGCCCCTCCCTGCCTCTGTACCCCCACAGGGGGACCAAGCTTCCTTGGGGGTGGCAGCAGGCTGTGCCTCAGAGGCCTGGGCTTTGTCTCTTCCCAAGTTACCAACCCCAGGGGAACCATTCCTCTGAGCTTCAGTTTCCTCATCCCTTAAAGTGGGGATAAAATCTACTTTACAGTTGATGATCGTGAGGATTTAAAAGACCCTAAGAATTCAATGTCGATTTCTAAACACGCATCACTAAATGAGAATCCTCCAGGCTGGGGGGGCCTGACAATGAGAGGCCAAGGTCCCTACACCAACGGGCTCTCCACCTTCTGTGGGCATAAGAATCACACGAAGAGTTTGTTAAAAATAAGATTCCAGTCTCCACTTCCAGACACGCACTAGGGGGTGCTTCCTCTGCACATCTGTAGAAAACCTGTGGCAAACTCTTCATTCCTCATTCCATACCCACCTCCTATCTGCTATCAGCCCCTGCCTCTGGATCCCACCAGGCTGTCTCTGTCATCACCTCCAGGGGGCCTGACGCCCAACTTCCCTGCAGGAGTAGAGGGCAGCGATGGCTGCCACAGCCTGGGGAGGCAGAGAGGGCGCCCACAGGCCCAGGGAAGAGCACAGCCTGGAGCTAGGTGGACCAGGGGCTGGAAGTGTGCTGCCCTGCCCTCCCAGAGGCCCAGCCGACAGCCCCAGGCCAGGACGCAGAGCCCAGCTGCACGTGGAAGGAGGCAAGTCTGCGCGCCACCAACAAAATATGTCTCCCCCCTTCCAAGGACAGGGGCGGTGCCAGAACAAAAAATGCATCGGAGACTGTCCCAGGAAATGTAAGGACCTGCCAGGAAAAGCGTTCTACCCTGGCACTCGCTAGTAAGGAATATTTAGAAACTGCCCCAGGCAAGGAGTAGCTGGTAAGGTTTGCCCTCTTTCCCACACATACCCCGAAAGGGCTGGTGTCTTCTAGCTACTTCACTGTCCCCAAACATCTGGGGCTGCTGGGCCCCGGGGCAGCTACGCCCCCTCCTCTCACAGACCCCCGTCCCAGAACATACACATACAGACACGCAAAACTCTACCTCCAACTCTCAGGGAGCCAAGGTGATGGGATTTCCAAGATGCTGAGGGTTCTGGCAGCGTCTCCACAGTCCCCGCGGGCTCTGGGAGCCAAGCTCCTGTCCTCAGGTTTTCTAGGGCGCGGAGGGAGCGAGCCCAAGGTGCTGTCGAAGGGCAAAGCAAGGTGACTGGGGCGGCAGCGCCGGCCCCGATGGGGGCGGGGGGCGCGTTTGGTCGCCTGGTCTCTGAGCTAAGCAGGCAGGCTGAGGCGCTCGCCATCCACGAAAAGGGGTTCAGCACAGAGCCTCTGCGGCTGGGTCCCCGCGCTGCCCTCCCGGAGGACGCGGCCCGAGGGGGCAGCCGTGGCCCCCATCCCGGGGCAGGTGCATCTCTGGACCCTGCTCTCGGGTAAGGAGATCCAGGGTTTTGGAGCCAAAGCTGTCCTCGCCCGAGCGGCGCCGAGCCCCAG